TCTCTCTCTGTGCAGGGCCTACAGTTACGCGGGGCTGGCTCACGGGGCAGAGTGCTATTGCGGGAACTCGCTGCCCGCGGCCGCGGCGCCGGGCCGGGAGTGCAGCAGCGAGTGCCGGGGCCAGCGCGGCTCCGTGTGCGGCGGCCAGGACCGGCTCTCGGTCTACAGCGTGCAGCTCCGGCCGGCCACCAGGCCACGTAAGTGGGCGAGGGAACGGGCAGGGGGGCACAGGTGTGAGCTGTGCCGGGGATGTCCTGCTGCTCGGCTGCTCCGTTCCGCACCAGCGGCTGGAGCAGCCAAGGACAGAGGTGCCTGCAGCAGGCACGGGGTCTGTCCGTGCTGCTCTGGTCCTGGATGCTCACCTGGCACCAGGGAGTGAACTCAACACAGTACAGTGCCAGCAACAGAAGCACAACTCCACATGAAGAATCCACTGTCTTCGGTATCGGAAGGGGTACAGACACACCTGCGCTTAAGTAACAGCCTGGAAAGACCTGTCCTATCACACGACCGCACAAAAACCACCCCCGCCAAGGCCATCCAACGCTCCCGGCCCTAAAGGACACCAAAAGCCGCAGATCCTGCTCCAACCCCTTTACTGGCACACCAGCCCTGAAGCGGGCCCCGAGCACGACAGCCTCAGCTCTGCGGGGCAGCGCAGCCTCGCCCCCCTGCTCGCCCGAGAGTCGCCCCACTAGCCCCCTGCTCCAGGGCCGTCATGGCCATCGGGTGCTGTTAGGTCACGGTGACAAGGCAGGAGAGTCCTGCTTGCTGATGGCATCTCCGGCACTGCTTTTCTTATTTGGCAGGGCCATTTTTAGTTTTCCGTGTTACACTGGCTCGTTGGTTTTAGGGGTTTTTGTCACTGAGTTGTGTCCCATGAGCACTTGCGGTTTTCTGATTTGCCTGGCACCGTTCAGGGCAAGGCAGTTCCAGGGAGTGGGAGTCAGACCAGAACAACGGCAACAATTAACATCAAAACGGGGAGCTTTCCACAGCTAAGAGAACATTAACAGAACAAACACGAACTTGTTCGTAACAGTCCTAAACAAAATAAGTGATCTGTGAAGGTGAGGAATGAGTGGAGCCAGAAAGAGCCACATCAATCCCTTTCCTGAGAGAAATGAGACCAGTCTTGCTCTTCCATGGAGTTCTGTTCCAGCAGCAGTTGGGAATTTTGCTCCATCTTTAGATGGCAACACACTCCACCCATCACTCAGTTAGCTGCCTTGGGGGACTCCATGGATAACCCTTTAGGTAAACACAAAGCACATAAGGGATCTAAACAGCTGATCACTCTTTGCGATTGGCAAGCTCACAAGACCTTATGGATGTTATTTGCTGAGAAGAAGCACCAAGACCTTAGGTTGTGCCAGTATTGATGGTACTTCATTTCTTCTTAAAGACAAGTCAAGGTTTGTACGATAATCCAACCAGCTACATATAAATTATATATCAAAGGTACATAGACCTAAATTGCCACTGTCAGGCTGACAGGCACGTTGGCAGGCTTCCCAGGATATGCATCACTGCTTAAAATTCCACTATGAAATATATATACACATTCCTCAGGAAAAGACAGCCTTTAATTTTTTTTTTAAGTATTAATGAATTACTCCTCAAATTAGTCTAGCCTGAAGCTAAAGTTGTAATTTTCTTGCCCTTAGTAACACCTGATAGTTGTCTGTTTGAAGAATCCCCCTGACACAAGCCAGCTGAGAGCCAACAGAAGTATTAATCACAATGAACAAGTATGTTAGAAAGTAACTCTGAGACTGGAAGGCCCCGTGATTTACTCTGTGTACTGTAGAGCACAGACCTCATGTAAGTCTTTTACATGGAGCAGGTTCAGTGACATCTTCAATTAAACCATCCCAGACCGGGCTTGCCCCTCTCTGTCCCTCTCCTCTCTCTTCCCGCTGTGGTTCCCAGAGATCCAACTCTGCTTCTAGTAAATTGTTTGAATAGTTACAAGAACAAAATTTAAACGGCTTCTCCTTAGATTACTCTAGGCTCTTGCTAGAGAGTCTGGGTTTTTCTGCCAAGAAATTCATGCAGAACCAATTTTTTTCTTCCTAACTGCACCACGTCTCTCCTGTCGTTCAACCCGCTCCCCACATCAGTTCTGGCAATAGGTTCAAGGCAGCAGCTGCGGTGGTGCCAGGCTCTGCGGGGTTTCTGCAGCAGCAGGTGGAACCACAGGAACACGCAATGGGAGCTGATCTCCCTCAGCTGATCTCCCGACTAAAGCCGGGCTTAGAGCCTGAAAGGCTGCAGGAACGCCTTGGCCTGAGAAGGGAGCAGAGGGGCAGCTGAAGAGGAAGGTGTGTCCCATGAGGGGGTTTTCAGGACTCATTTACATTCCTTTCCTTTTCTGATCCAGAAGCTTTGTAGATTTTTATCAGGGCTTTTAACTCATTGAGGGGAAAGCCGAGGGAGCTGGGACCTGCAAACAATAGCAATGTCCTCGCAGGTGGGATTGGACTCGGTGCTGCTTCCCATGGTTGTACAAAGATAAAGGCGTGTGCTCCTTTCAATACCACCCGAGCTGCAGCACGTTTTTCTAGCATACAATATAGTTTCTCTTATTTCTGCCGCCTTTGTAATATAAAATGTACTTTATTATTTTGGGCTTCTGTACCTAATATTATTCTTTGTGAAAGAGGCAGGATGCTATGGACATCGTTTCCTTAAGAGAAACCTGTTTTATATCCCCACAGGGAGGAATGTTATCTATCGAGGATGTTTTAGAGCTCCAGAAAATTTAACAGACACCTTTCCAGCCTCTTTGATACTGCCCAATTTGACGGTGGAGATGTGCTCCGAATTTTGCTCCAAGAAAGTAAGAACGGTTCTCATTTCACATCCTTTCTTTTATTGTTATTTTAAATTCTAATCTACTGAGGGAAGGACAGAGATTAGTGCCTTAGAGCTTTGAATTTGTAAATGAGTTTCTAAAGGACAAAAGTCATTAGAGTAAATACCCAGTGATGCATCTGGTCCAAGTGCTGGCGTGGGGATGGCGGGAGGGAAAGTCAGAGTGGTGTCACTCGGCATGATACACAGGCAGCTGCTCTGAGCGATGAGTATCGACCACGAGGAAATCAATACCTGCTCCGGGTCGCATTCCAGCCCAGCCCTGAGCCACAGCTGCCCCGGGAGAGGTGGCAGCAGCTCCTGGGGACACACAGCCTGCCAGAGGGTGGCTGCGGGCTGGCAGCACCCCAAACGTGCCCTAGAGCCCTCCAGGAGAGCCGGCTGCTCTCGGGGACCGTGCCCAGGGCACGGGCAGGGCTCCCTCTGGGCTCCCTTCCCCTCGTCCCCACCCCGATGGGGATGGCTTTTTCTGCACAGGCTTCACTGCGTGGTCAGGTTTTGCCTGCAGCCACATCCAGCCTCGTGCACTGAGCTCAACGTCCAGTTACTTCTTGCAGCATCACAAAACTGATTTAAACTCTTAGCTGGCTGATTACAGTGCTTTGACCAGGACCCGTGGCCTCAGCACAATCATGGAATAAGCAAATGGCCTCAAGTTGCACCGGGGGAGGTTTAGATCGGATATTAGGAAAATTTTGGGATTATCCCATGCAAAGCCCACTCCGGGTTTGTGTCCTCCTCACTCATGTGCTGCCCAAGCCGTGAGGAAGTTGTGAGGGTCAGCCTGCCCTGGGCACAGACACTGCACCCCTGGCACCCTGCACTGACCACCACCTGAAGGTGCAGGGCTACAGAGGAGAAGTTCTTTTGTTGCCTCACAGAACCTCCAGCCTTGCAGAAAAGTTCATCACTTGCAGGGGATGCTTGGTATGAGATGCAAGGGACATTTTTATTCCAGGCTGTGTTTGAGGGCAGGGACACTTATTAATTTCTCAAACTCAGAAACACTGCTTCATTGTAAAGGAAAGATTTCTGTTTGCAGGCAAACCCAGAGCTGTTTTGCCCTTGGATCAAATCTGTAAATAGTTTTTGACAATGTCATATCTCATTCCCTAAGTAAATGTTGGCTGTTGGGCACACGTGGCACACGTGTTGCATTCGACTCCTTATCAGAGAATGAATGCAGGGGCAAGAGCAGGAGATAAGCTGCTCAGCAGTCCTGTCACATGCTCCCACACTCCAAAAGACTTTTAAAAGGCAAAAAGTGTTGATATGGAATAGATGGACTGAAACGTTGAGCACTCAGATACTCCCTGAACTTCCTTCAGCCTTCTGCCTGCCCCCACAGCCCCGTGCCACCAAGAGAGCCCACGGGGGGCTCCAGGGCAACCCACACCTTTCTGGTAAACAGCAGAAAGCCTGAGTTTTAGGGCCAGTAACCAACTGCTATTTTATTTGGTAAATATTTAGCACATTTCCCTCAAACTTGTTTTAATTCTTACCACAATTAGGCCAGCAGCTGGGGTTCGTTGCCCCACCACTACACAGCTTTGCAGCCTGTTGCCCTTCCCGGGTAAGACTGGTACACCAAAACCTGAATTACTCTGCACCAAATCCATTTAAAAACACTTCTTACAGACAAGAATTTTCCTTAGAAATTTATTCCTTGCAAGCGACACTAACTGTAACTTCCCCGTGATTGCCCACCTCAGCAGGCTTCCTATCTCCAAGCAAGGTAACACAAACATGAAGCCAGTAACAGGAAAGTAGCGGGAGCTTTAGAACGACACCGCTTCGATCCTGACAGTGGCGAAGATTTATTTGCTTTGCATGGCAGCAGCGTTCCCTGCAGGCCGTGGGTGCCGTGGCGCTTGCCCAGCGATGTGTTTCTGTGTTTTCCCTGTGCAGGAGTTCCCCTTGGCAGTGATCCGAGGCCAGGAGTGCCACTGCGGCTTCCCCACCGGGCGCTTCTCGCTGCGCGAGGGCGCGGACGGGCAGCGCTGCAGCGGGAGCCGCAACGCCAGCAGCGCTGCCGGGGGACAGTACTGCCTGGTCTACCAGACACCTGTGCAAGGTACAGCCCCCGGGACCGCCCCCGAGCCCCTTCGGCCGCCGCTGAAGGGCTCTGTTTGCAGCAGGCTGAGCCACAGCCTGGGCAGCGCGCTATGCGCAGGAATTTGGGAAACAATCTTCCTCTCAATTCCCCTCTCGCCATCAGGCTCGTGAAGATGCATCTTTCCCTTCTCTCGTTACACAACACCTTTTAAGACAACTTGCAATGGTTTGTTGCAGCTTTATCAAAAAAGCATTGCCTTACAGAAAACCAGCAGAAACCTCTTTGAGGATAATCTCTTTGGTTTCATACAGCTGAATTAATTCTAGGAAGTAGCTGACTCACAAGCAGACCAAATTGATACTCTATACTAAGAGAGAGAAGGAGGAAGCAATAAACTTTGTAATCAAGAGCTGTCAGTGGAATTATTAAAAATCCACAGTGCTAACAATGAAATATCTTCTCTCCTCACAGACACCCGCTGCACGGACAGGAAATTCTTAACCACCAAATCCAAAGTGTTTGTTGCTTTGTCAAGCTTTCCTGGGGCTGGGAATACGTGGGCACGCCATTTGATAGAGCATGCCACAGGATACTACACAGGAAGTTATTACTTTGATGGAGCCCTCTACAACAAAGGTACCAGGGCCCAAGAGATGGGGCACAGGCAGCCCTTCCAAAGCACAGAGCTTTACTGGTTGCTCTGTCATCCTTCTGTTTGTGGCTGTCAGCATGTTTGGAACAATTTAAAGTCGCCTGGCCTGAGCAGCCTCCCGCAGTGCAGATGGCAGCAGGGACAGCTCTGGCAGCAGGGACAGCTCTGGCAGCCAGGGTTTGCAGTTGTGCACGCTGCCTGCACTGCTGCCCTGTCACACACGTGTGCAGCTCCCACCTGGCAGGCTGGTCCAAAGACCAGTTACCTGAAGGCTGTGGGTAGGACCCTTCAGTGAACATGTAGGTTGAATTTCCAAACGTTGCTAATTATGGGAGAGCAGTATGGTGAGGCAGCAGAGGCTCAGCAGGCACTGGCCCCGTGGAACGCTGCCTCCCTGCAGTGCAGGGCTGAGGATGGAAGCCTCCCCCAGCACAGGCACTGCCCACGAGCCCAGCGTGCTGGCTGGGGCTCCAGCCATGGTGTAGCTGACTGGCACTGTCACACCAGCTTTACACCACCATAGTGGGTGATTTAGTGGGAAAAGGCACAGACACAGAATCAGGCAAAAAAGCCAACAATCCTGTCTTGTAAAACAGGTTTTAAAGGAGAAAAAGACCACTGGAGGAGTAGGAGGACCATCTGTGTGAAAACACATGAAAGTGGCAAGACAGAGATTGAAATGTTCGACTCGGCAATCCTGTTGATAAGGAACCCCTACAAATCGCTGATGGCAGAGTTCAACAGAAAATACGCCGGGCACCTGGGCTATGCCACTGACCGCAACTGGAAGAGCAAAGGTGAGCAGGACCCAGCACAGGCTGCTGTGAAATCTCCTCAGTGTGCTGGCAAGGGGACACGAGGGTGAGCACTGCAAACAAATTCAGCTGAGGGCAGTCCCAAAGCCTGTGACACCTGCACGTGGGAGCAGCTGTGCTCCTGCTGCAGAGGGGAGGGCAGTGCAGCACCATTGCCACAGGCACAGGGAGCATCCCTGCCACGGCACTGCTGGGCAGAGAAAATGGCCATGCACAACGCCCCTCTGCACAGCCCATTTGCCAGGCTGAGGTGAAGAAAATTTGCCCCTGCAGCATGTAATAACCATGAGAAATCTAATTTAAAATTTGGAGGATCCAATGGAGCATGACATTTCATGAAGGATATTTTACAGCACTGCACAGGTGCTGCTACACTGCAGAAAAATAAGGATGATAGCAAAAAGTGGACCTGAAATTCAGTGTCCCCTGAACACATGAAAAGACTTCAGAAGCTGCCTGCCTCACTTCACATGTGTGACTGGCAAGCTGGCTGCTGATTGCAGTTTCCCCCCTGCATACACAGCTGCATTCAGACTCTGCAGCAGAAAAGCCATTTGGCTTCCATTTCTCCTTGTACATATTTTAGGCATTACAGCTGTGGCTTGGCAGAGGGCTGGGGGAAAAGTGTCCTGTGTCACAGCACATTTCTTTCCCAAGCTGGTGTTTCACCTTTCATCAGTCACAACTCAGGACCTATTCATCAAAAACTGACAAAATAGTCCCCAGAAAAAAAAAGAAAAAGTCTGCTGGGAATGGCTTTCCCATACTGCAAACTGCAAATTGTTACATTTCAGCCACAAATGCTCTTTGTCCAGCCCAAAAGCTTTCACTAGGACTGTCTTGACTTCAGGAAGTTAAATTATCGAGGAGAGCAAATAGAGATGCAGGTATCACTAATGTCGAAGGCTAACGAGTGTCCCGTGTTGCTGCTCCCTGTCCCTGCAGAGTGGCCGGATTTTGTGAACAGCTATTCCTCCTGGTGGGCTTCCCACGTCCTGGAGTGGCTCAAGTACGGGAAGCGCCTGCTGGTCGTGCACTACGAGGAGCTGAAGCAGAGCCTCATCCCCACGCTGAAGGAGATGGTGGAGTTCCTGAACGTGACCGTGACCGAGGACAGGCTGCTCTGTGTGGAGAACAACAGGGACGGCAATTTCAAACGGTCTGGTGCTAAACAAAAGGATTTCGAGCCATTCACCCAGGAAATGAAAGATCTCATCAACAAATACATCCTGACAGTGGATGAAGCCCTAAGGGGAAGGAACTTCTCAGGGCTGCCCAGGGAGTATGTGCCAAGATGATACGCTGGTGTCACGCTGCTGTGGTTTAAAATGAAGTGTTTTTTTCTTAAAAAAAAAAAAACAGAAAAAAATCTCAAACAAAAAAACCCACAAACAAACAAGAAGAAAAAAAAAAAGATTAAAAAAACCAACCAAAAAAAGACCAGACCTCTTTAGCAGTTATGGCAAAGATGCTTGTGGAGGCTGCTGAGCAGTGCAGCAGTTGGGAATGCCTGGGTTTTGTCAGCCCCAAACCTGGCTCCAGGGGCATGGAGGAGACCCCAGAGGGTGGCAGAGAAGGGAGTGCCACCTGTGCCAGGGGCTCAACACAGGTCCCTGCACCTCCATCCCTTCACCTGCAGAGCCACGGTGGGTCTGGGGGACACCAGGGCCAAGTGTCACCACTGGTTCTGGAAATGGGAATGCTCTTGGTTCCAGCTGGGAGCACCTGCAGAACGGGGGAGAAGGGGGTGAACCCCAGTCCCTGCAGCCCCAGAGGGGTCGGAGCACACCTCCCACCCCAGCCCCAAGGCACTCCAGCCTGGAAACCACGGCCCTGTAGATAGAGCTGCCCTCCAGAGCCCCTCCAGCAGCCGTGCAGGGCTCATTTTGAACTCCTGCAGGCACCCGAGGTTTGTTGGACCCTGCAGTGGGCAGAGGACAGGGCACACAGGGCTGCCAGGGCAGCTGCCCCATCATCCTGGGCACCTTGGAGGGGCCAAACCCTGCGGCCAAAGGGGCTGCCCTGCTGTGAGACACTTCTGCTCACAGGAAATAAAGGATTTCTTAAAAATTGAGTGAAAATACTAATTTTAATAAAACAAGTTTATATAAAGGGAGCTGAACTTCCTCTGCCTGTGTATCGTTGGTGCTTTAAAGTCAATCGAGGACATGGAGTCACTTCAAGCTGAGGCTCATCCTGTGCCACTGCCTCTATGGGGTTTGTTGTGGGGTTGTCACATCCCCATCCCCAGAACTCAGTGCCTTCCCTGGCAGTGAGGGTCTCAAGGGCCACAAAGGGGTGAGGGGTTGTGGTGGACTGAGCTGGTTCACACGGAAAACAGAAATTATTTTTGTCTATGCAAGGGGTACAGCTCAAAACAACAGCTGTGTTTGGGTGCTGTGAGCCCAGGGGTGAGGCCCTGGGTGCCTGCACAGGGTGGCACAGCCCTGCACAGGAACACAGCTCACACACTCGTGGACACCAAGGAAAAACCCAAATAACATCGTGCCAGTACCAAACACCACCCGGGTACAGAAACATTCCCATAAAGCACATTATTAAGGATGCTGCAGAACAGGATTATCACCATCTCCACTCTGACTTAGTAAAGAGCTAATTCTTTTGGAAATTATGCATTAAGGCTCTTCCAAGTTTCATTTGGGCAGCAGTTGCTGTTGGTGGTCACAGCCCACAAAGTTTGAGCCCAGCCTGTGGAAGGAGCACAAATACTTCACAGAAAGAAATTGCTCTTAGCCTCACTGAATTACATGCCCGAGACCACACATCAGGATTTGGGCCCACCACAAAACATGAAGATTATAACATTTTATTACATTGCCTTTCTAGCCTTGTGTAGCATCACAGGATCATTTTAAAAAATATTTCGATCATTTCAAACCTGTAAATGGTGAGCAAGGACAGGCTGTAAACTCTCAAGAAGGCAATTTAATTATTCATATGTCCTGTAATGAAGACTCTAGGTGGCTAAAATTAGAGCTGGCAAAAGTTATGAATATGCATTAGCTCTGTAATGCCAAAAATGAGCTCGTTTTACAATAAAATAAATTGCAGCCAACCATTTCTTAATTGCTGAGGTACAGGGACTGCCCCTTTATTTGTACACATTTAGTACAAATGATGTACATCTGTTACATACCCCATACATCTGTATGGACAGACACACCAACATGTCACTTGCATTTGTTCTGCCTGGGCTCTTTTAGGACCACAGGAGCAGTGAAGGGCTTGATGGGTGTGGACAGAGGCACAGCTCACACCGTCCTTCCCTGCCACATCCTTTTTGGTCAGTGGTGTCTTTTGGCTGAAGCAGCTCCTCATCTTTACCTGGAGATGTGTTCACACATATTGATCACGAGCTCCATCTTGCCAGAGCAAATATTCTGTGGTGCTTTTCCCAATTCCCTTGCAAGGCAGGTTTTCCTCTCAACCATCTCTGTGCTTATTGCACTTAGCTTTAATTAACCAGAATGTCTCAGTAAAAAAAAAAAAAAAAAAAAAGAAGAAGAGCTGTAATGCCACTGAAAGCCATGTTGATGTTCACTCCAAGCAGACTTGCCTTATTTTGTATTCAAAATATTAGAAATGGAAGAAGTATGCATGCAATTCCCTCAAGCTTTCAGTTGTCCTCAGGAAGTCATGAGTCATAAGCAGGCAACTGGAACAAAACAGAGATGCTACATTTGAAAAGGAAGAGCTTAACACTTGAGATTGTTAAAGTGAGCAACAACCACACTATACGAGGTGGAATCCAGATTCTCTATTGAACTGTAGGTAAAACGTGGGTAAACCATACTAGAAGAGAGGACATAACAGGAGAGAAAATGGTTTTTCTTCCTGGAAACCAATTGCAAAATAAAGCCTTTAAAGCAATCCTAAAAAAGCATGAATGTCATCACCAGTAGTTCTGTCTTTCTGCAGTGCTTTATGAATTTTCCATTAAACCCATTTCTTTTAAAACCCATTACTCATTGCTAAGACCAAGCTACGATACTACTGCAGCAATATTAACCTCCATGAAATAATTAAAGGATGGATTATCAGCATGAGACCTTACATGACACCTCTCTGGAACCTAATGTGTCTTCCAATGGCCTGCAATATAATGAGATGTTCAAATATAAAATGTTGAGTTACTGCTTTTGTCACTTGTGACATTTATTCAATCAGAAAGATCCCACTTCCCCACTGCATTACTTACACTTTACTTTTGACCTTGGGTGGTTGAGAGCAATCTTTAAGGAAGCTATCCCTTTGAATCTCCTTTTTATATTAGCATTTAATTAATCTAACAAATTTCCTGATGTACAATTATAACGGACTGTAAATCAGCTCTTCCCCTTTGAACCACCATGTTGCATTTTTTAGCCTTCTGCATACTCAGACCAGCAAACACATCCATCTCTCAGCTCTTCCTACACAGCACTATTGATCCTGGTTCCCACATCAGGAGCTTTTCCCTTTGCAGGACTCCACCTTCCACCCTCACACCCTGCTCCTCCGTCTGGGGGCCCCTCAGGTTGCACCATCCTGGTGTTTCTGTATTCCCTGGTGTGTCCAAGAAAATGCTGAGATCTTACCAGGGAGGGTATCATTTCTGGACATGGGGCATGGTCACCCCTGATGGCTGCATGTTTTTCCCCAAGCTGAAAGAGCAGCAGAGAGGAGAATGGCTTCTCTGGATCACATGAACCAGTGTCAAGCAACCCCTCAAATGAGGAGGAATACGATTGAAGTGCATTGTTAAATATTTTATGCAATAGTGAAGACGATGAGAAAGGCCCCAAGATTTTTGAATGAAATCATCTCTAACTGAGGACATGTGATCTCATCGATGCAGTCTCTCCCTGCCCTCTTGGTGCAGAGTTTGTTCTGCCCTGCTCCTGGAGCCTGCTGGTCACAGCCCTGGTCTGCACATCCCAGCTCGCCCCCTGCCCACCCTGGGGACACCAGGCAGGATTTTTGTGCCGTTCAGGGCTCCCCAAGCCCTGGCTGGAGCTCGTCCAGGTGCTGCCCCAGGGCAGGGCACAGCACCCACCTGCCCTCCTGGCTCTTGCCCTGTTGCCTTTCATTGTGCCCGTGGAGAGCTCCAAGGTGTGTGGGCAGGAGAGCCCATGGAATCACAAGCTCTTAAAAGTACTGAAAACAAAAATAATTCCTCCCGTGACCCGCAGTGGAGAGACCTTTCTGCTCCAGTGGGGTGGGCTGGAAGCAAACTGCATTATCTGGAGCAGTTGGTGCAGACACACAGTGACTGGATTACGAGCACTTATCCCAAAGGAAAAACAGACAATCACAGCCTTTGGATTTTTAGGTATGTCAGAAGCTGCATTAACCTGTAATGCTTGTGAAATAAAGCACTTAGTACCACCCTAGCAAAATTATACAGCTCATTTCATAGCAGAAAATTCAAGTCACAATGAATGAAAAACACAGAGAGGGAAGTGATTTAAAGGCAACACCTTGCTAATGACAAGAACATTTCTTTGACGAGTGAGGTTATAAAGGAGCAGTCTGCAGTACAACTGCATCCCTCATGAAGCATCAAATACTCTGGAAAATAAACCAAATCTTCCACGCTGACTTAGCCCATTACAGTGATGTTCTGGAGAATTGTCACACACACACAAACACACATTTGGTGCGTGTGTGACTGCACGGGCAGCGGGTCCCACATCCCCACGCAGGGTCAGGGGTCCCCTGGAGCCTCTGCACTGCCCTGGGGGCACAGGGCTGGGACAGCACCTGGGGACAGGGCACAGCTGCACCCGAGCCCTGAGCTCTGCTGGAGGAGCTCTGCCCAAAGAATCTGCAGAACATTTGTTTTCGTAGAAACACTCTTTTTTTTTTTTTTTTTTTTACAGTCACTCATTTAAATGGATTCCACTGTGGCTGTTTTATGCCCCTCTTTATTCCAGTAGAGACTAAATTAAGCTTTGAAGTTTAGTGAGAAATCCTAATGGCATTCAACTTCAATGCTATTGCCTGAATCCTGGGGAATTAAAGAAAGGGGGAGAGCAAGAGGAAAGAAACCACTCTTTTATTGTTTTCTACAGCTTGATCCTGAAATGACTGACTTTGAAAATAACCTTAGCACATAACTTTATGCATTATTCATATATACTAAAACATGTAAACACAGTTTTCAAAGGTTAAAATAAAGCTCTTTTCCTGTACAGGTTACAATTATTTAATATTTTGACACAGCAACTAACATCATTAATATTAAACAGCACATAGAAGGAAAAAAGTCATCTTAAACAAGCATGAACTTTTCTCA